TATATATATATATATATATATATATAATAAGACTATAAGCTGCTACTTTTTTAACACACTTTAAACCCTGCGGCTTAAACAATGATGATTTACGGATTTATCGGGCTAACGAAGTTCATAACGCTAGCGATCAATGTTTTTTTGGGTAGGCTACTACCAAAGGAATCTAACAAGGTGATTGTTCACAGATATGTGAATCATTGTGAATCCATGTAAGCATGCAGTTATTCTGGAATCTTATATACCAAGAGTTTGCATGTACATTCTGTTTTGATAAAATTCCATTGAAATAAATTCCGGTGTTTCAAAATTACATTTACTTTCAAAATATGCGTTTGTCATTATAGCGCTTTGCAATATATATATTCGATAATCGATATTTTTCATATATACAGAGTTACAAAGGTCTAGCTGCAAATTTGGTATCCCAGAATTGCAAGTAGGCATGCAAAATAGAAGTGTTAAGATATTCTTCTATCAACTTTCTAATCATGTTAAATAATATAAATATGTATTTATTAGGATTGTGGATATCTGGTTCTGGATTTTCAATCGCGTTTTTCTCAAAACTGAGGAACAGCTGTACAATATCAACAACATGCATGCGTGAACAGATGACGTTCGCGGGGGGCCATACGCACGTGAAACAATCACAGCGCTCATCGCAGGCGATCTCTTCAAGGTTGACGTCAGGTTCCAACTGAGGTTTGGTGCCTCCCTGCAAAAGAGGTACTATTTATTTTCATTTTTTTAGTCTATTTTTTGTTGGCTATACCACAGTTAACTGAGGGAATTCAAAAAAGCACAACCCTTTTCCTTTCTCTCTTTCGAAGGTACATTCATACACATTACCGTAATTTCCAGACTATAAGTCACACTTTTTTTTTCATCCTTTGGCTCGGTTTGCGTCTTATAGTCAGGTGCAAATTTCGTTTGTTATTTTCACACTGAGAGCCACTAGAGGGCACTCCAGGCTTGTAGTATCGGCTACTCCTGTACAACTGAAAATTAACGTTAGTTGTTTTAACGCCGACAGCCGCCATTATCCTTTTTTTTGGTTCACGTGACTGTAACTGTATACTCCAGAGTGACTTATAATCCCGAAAATACAGTAACTAATGACAAAAAAATGCCTCCATTTTAATTCTACCATCACATCATATTACACAATGATTAAGTCAATGATCAAAATGGTAGTTTAAAGTTGAAATGATATAAGAGGAGCCGCACTGAAACATCAGCAGTTGCTATTGCAAGCATAAACCTGTTATCAGAAGAGCAAAAAAAAAAAAAAAAAAATGCAAAGAAAATACTTATAATCACAAGGTGCAAAAAAAAAAAAAAAACCCAAACAAAACACTGGCTACCTTTTTATTTTTCACCTTATATATTACAAGGCAAAGTTAATTAAGTATATTTCTTTAAGAATAACAACATACAAAGCACAGTCAGCCCAGTTCAAACCTTTGATTGATTTTACACTTAGGCTACAACAAAGCTGTTTTCTAATGAGGTATAAATATGTTCTCTAACTTCAGCGTTCAAAAAAAGTAAATTAGTGATGTCATTTCACTGTGTGCCACAGTGAAAAAAATGTACATAATTTTTACTAATTTAATTCATTTAAAGAAAATCCAGTCATATCCATTTACTTTATTTATTTAAGGATAATCTGATAATATTTTAAAATATGGTCATTCAGACTTTGATACAAACGGTCATATCCATTTACTTTCTTTATTTAAGCATAATCTGATCATATTTTAAAATAAGGTCATTCAGACTGATACAAACGGAAAAGATGTTTTATTTTGAAAATTTATTGATCATTGAGTGCTCCGCACCTTGCTACCGTCTGTAGTAACAGACTAATACATTTTTCTGCAATTGCTTATTATTTATCCAAGCTACAAATATTGTTCATTGCTGTGTAATTTAAAAAAAAAAATATTATTTAGGTTAAGAAACTCTGCTGCATTGACTTTACTAAATGCTTTTCAAACTCCCTGGGCCACACAAAACGGATCGGCGGGCCGCATTTGGCCCCCGGGCCTTGAGTTTGACATGTATGGTTTAGGGGGGAAAACAGGAAATTTGCAGACTTTAGATGCTATAAGCACTTCCTCTTGCATCATCGTGAAGACCTTCAAGTTCAGTGTGACTTTCTGGGTGTCAAGCTAACACAAAGAGCAGTTGGGCAGACACAGCAAAATCAGGTTTGGATTGATAGAGTCATCAATCGCTGCAACTATACATATAACCTGAACTATCCACAGAGGTTTTAGTAAAATATGCAAAAAAAAAACCCAACAAAAAGTCAGTTCTCTGCTGGAGTATTGAATATGTTTTTTCCCCAAAACAAATAAATGTTCTAAGGGACAAGTGTCAAACTCAATGCCAAATGTGGCCCGCCAAGTCATTTTGCCTGGCCTAAGGGGGAATAAAAAGCATTTAATAAAGTGTATGCAACAGAGTTTCCAAACCTGCTAAATACACACCCCTTAACAATATTTGTAACTTAAATAAATAATAATCAATTGTGGAAACATTTATTGAGCAGTTACATCTATGCAGAGTTCCATTTACAACCGTATTGCTGATATGCCCCCCCCCCCCCCAGTGAAATTGAGTTTGAAGGGCATGTCAAGACACTGGTTGATTTATTTATTTTTAACCCTTTCTGTTTCAAATAAACAGACAAATGTGACAGACAAATGGTACCTTAGTAATAGTGAGCAGGATGGCGTGGCGGTCTGCTGGAGGAGGCAGACCTACGTACAAGGTCTTGTCCAAACGACCGGGCCTCAGAATGGCAGGATCAATGATGTCTGAGGAGAGACAAGACGACAACGACAGTGAGAAGACCCGCCTCCACACAAAAGGTCTTTGAAGTCTCAGCTATTTAAAGTAAAAATAAACAATAGAGGGAGTCCCTACTCTACGACGCCACCTCCACCCACGTTGTCACGTTGTTGCTGTCGTTACGTTGCCATCTCTTATTAACCCTTTCATGCATGACGGTCACTACAGTGGACAGCTGTGAAAATGTCATTTTCTATGATAAGAACAGGTTTTGATGGCAGTGTTGCATATAAGCCTCTACAGTGGACACCTGAGAATCACCCAACACTGCCATACAGTGGTCAGCCTTTGCAAGTGCAGAATAATTGTGTCAACATTCAGAAAGAAAATTTGGTGTATAAAAACAGAACCAAATCAGTTCTTATTTTTATGTCTAAAAACACTTAGTAACATTTTTTTAACTCAGTATATCATGGATCATGCATCAAAGGGTTAATTTCTATTAAGGAAGTCTTGTTCTGTCATTCCGATGTACAGCGCTTTACTGTATACATTTAATTGTGCTACATTTGCTTTCTTTGTTTGGGTTGTGTTTTTTTGGCAACTTTTTGATCTACACTATGGCTACACCCAAGCATTAAGTCACACTCTTCTAATGTTTTTATGTCCTAGATTATGACGTTACAACTGTGTTAGCGTAGGTGAGTGACATACTGTAAGTACGTATGCACAGTGCTGTATGTGAAAATCGAGTTTCGTTGTGCTGTAGAAACGGAACTTGAGGGTTCCCCTGTATTGTAATGTAATATTATAATGGATTGGGATGGAGGGGGGTTACAGTATGACAGAGTTAATGGGGAAGCCAGTGTGGAGATGTGTGTGCTGGGACAGGGAGAGATTGTGATCGTCAAGGGTGAGGGTAGATCAGGCATGGGCAAACTAAGGCCTGGGGGCCGGATGCGGCCCGTTCAGCTTTTTAACCCGGCCCGCCAAGCTTTCCCAAATGATATAATTTATTTATATAATCATTATACTTCTATTGCCTGCAATAACCTCAATTCCCCAATAGATGGCATAGAAAATGATAATAGCATTTTAGCATTTATGCATAATTTTTACATGTCATTTATCTTAGTTCACATGAATTCTCCTTCTATCTGGGACAATTGTGACCCGCCAGCCTGGGGTAGATTAATGTTGGTTAGTGAGTTTGGACCAAATATTTCCAGTATGTTGGATCACACACACACCAAGACACACTCAGGACACATGTGAATGTGGATAGTCTTTGATGACTGAGCCCTTCAATCTACAATCAAAGATGAACCAGTACCTGGTCTGTTGGTCGCAGCCATGATGAAGACCTGTCGTCGAGTCTCAAGGCCATCCATCTCTGTAAGCAGTTGGTTAACCACTCTCACACTTGCACCTGACTAAAGACAGTTATATGTATTACTCCATTAGCTAAAACAGTTTCAAGCGCTAATGTCTTAGTCAGCTAAATTAAATATTGAGACTAAGGCTGTGATCAACCAAAGACAGTTTTGGTCAACTGAAAATTTGTGGAATAAATTGCAAAAATTCAACTGAAAAAATGACTAATGGCTGTAAACTAGAGACATTAGCACAAGAACTGTTGAGAAATATTTAGGTAATTTTAACTATTTACGTAAAACTTTTACTCTTAAACACAAAAGGCAAGCTCGCTTTAAGAAAAAAAAAAAAAAAAATTAAACAAACCAGATGAAGTTGAATGCAGCAACAAAATAACTTGAAAAATAAAGCATTTGATGATAAAGAATTATTAGACTAATACACATGTCGTGTCGAACTCGAGGCTCGGGGACCTAATGCGGCTCAGGAAGTCATTTTGTACGGCCTGGGGGAACTTAAAAAGCATTTACTAAAATCCAATTTCTTAATCTTTTAGAAATGAGATTTTCGTCACAAATGTTGCCACACTGTTGATGCGTTTGACATAGTGACTGACTGTAAATGAGACGCTCAAAATGAAATAAATATTCAGCAAACCACTGACATCCTTCCCTCTTACCTCATGACCTGAGCGTCGAGGACACAGAGCATCAATTTCATCGAAAAAGATGACGCACGGAGCCGAGTTGCGTCCCCTCTGGAACACCTGTCTGACGGCTCGCTCGCTTTCTCCCACATACTTTTGACACACACATACAAAAAAAAAAAAAGACATTTATTCCGGTGTATTGCTAATGACTTTAATGCAGGAAGTTAACCAAACCATGTTTGAAAACTCCAAAACAAAGCCTGGAATAACTTGAACTCAATATGACAATACCGTAGCACAGGGGTCATCAACATTTTTTTAAACTGGGAGCTACTACAGGGGTTGAAATATACAAAGAGCTACATGTTTTATACAGGGAAGGGAATTATTTGTCATGACAGACACTGCACACATAACGAAGTGAGACCTCCGCCCCTGTGACACAGCTCACCACAGCACACAACCACTTGTGGCCTCTGCTTTTAACCCATCACCAAAGTGAACAGTGGTCAGCTTTAAGCACCCAAGGAGCAGTGTGTGGGGACGGTGCCATGCTCAGAGCAACTGGCAAGCTGGGGGACTCAAAACCTGAAATCTTCAGGACAGGAAGTTCGCTTCCTGCACCTTATTGTTATTGCACCTTAATGTTCGTCGTTCAGTATTGTCTATGTCTGTCAGCGCACGGGAAGGCGAGGAACGTAATTTCGATACCTCTGTATGTTCTGTACATGTGACGGTATTGACAATAAAGCTGACCTTGACCTTAACCACCAAGCCACCACTGCCCCATGTTAGCTTAATGCAGTGGTTCTAAATTATTATACTGTCATGCCGACCCATTAGGGACAAAAATGTTTCCACTTCATTAAATACTATTGAGAACCTGATAACATGTATGTCTTTACCTGCACAGACCACTGCATGAGTTGCTGCCACCTAGTGACTGGAGGCTTGTCATCATTTAAGCATTATAGTGTCAAATTCCATTGGAATTTCCTGGTTGTGAGGAATGATTTAACATGTTTACAAACTTGTGCCTGCTGTATACAACATTTTCTGCTGAGGTTGGTTAAATAAGTGAGTCTTTAACCCAATCAAAAGACCCTAACCATTTATGTTCTACAATTATGACATTTAATCTTCTAAACAATTTGTTGGGGGTATTTTAATCTGCATGAACTCACCATGTTCAGTAGCTCTGGTCCCTTGACAGAGATAAAGTTGAGGCCTGACTCATTGGCAACCGCCTGTCAGAAAAGAAAAAAAAAAACAAAAAACACTGATGTTAACCCTTTCATGCATGACGGTCACTACAGTGGACAGCTATGAAAATGTCATTTTCTGTGATAAGAATAGGTTTTGATGGCAGTGTTGTTGGACACCTGAGAATCACCCAACACTGCCATACAGTGGTCAGCCTTTGCAACTGCAGAATAATTGTGTCAACATTTTATGTCTAAAAACACATAAGAACACTTTTTTTAAACTCAGTATATCATGGGTCATGCATCAAAGGGTTAATCTATGTCTATCACAACATGTTTGTGTAACACACGAGATCATTAGCACTTATGCCGTGCATTGAGAACAAGATACAGCTGCGGGTACCTTCCTCAATTCCTCAAGTACATCTCTAATGAAGTATTTATCCCATTTGATAATTAAGACATGAATGAAAAAAAAATATTTGTAATAACGTACTATTCCTAAATTATCCACGAGGGGTGCACTATGTTAGTCAGATTAGAATAAAGCACTGTTTTAATCAGAGTAGAAGAGGCACAGCTCTGGCTGGAATCAGACTGAACAAAACACCTTGGACGTTTTTGTGTTTGTGCAAACTATAGTAATCTGAAGGTATTCAGGATATATTTTGTGAAAGGATATTTCATTAGCTATGGAGTTTTATTGTTAGATATGTACGATGCATCCAAAGGACATTGGTATTAGCCGACGATTGTGTCATCAACTGCTGTCCGACATCAGGAAATAAAGATTCCAAAGATGTCAAACAGCAGTTACTGAAGCGAACCACCTATGGTGAATTATAAATATATTTATAATATATTTTATAACATACTTCATCTTCTGGTACCTAATCATTTGGTTCTAGATAACGAAGTATGTTTTATTTAACTATCGACACAAGTACTGCAATTACCAATGTGTATTATGTACCATTCCTAGTAGAATCCACAGGGATGGGAATCCTGTTATGTATTGTTTTTCTGGTTGCCAACATGCTGTTATCAACCAATTACTCCTTGTGGCATACAAGTTCTTGGAAATAGCACTGGCAGTCTTGCTCAGTCTTGTTGTGCAATTCTGTCAGACAAATTTTAATGATTTTGAATGTAATGTTAAGTTTGTGATAAGGGATATTAGCTCTATTACGTAATATCGGTAACACATCGGCATATCAGACAAATGAAAACCTGATAATGCAATGCCTGGGTTTTTTCGCCCCGGTTGATGTGCACTAAAATTAGCTTTGAAAGTGAAAGTAAAACTAATATTTGCACTGCACACAATGAAATGGAGTTAAAAGTAACTTGAACACGATAAGGAAAACACATGGATGAAGAAAGGATTGAACCTTTGCAAGGAGTGTCTTTCCACATCCAGGAGGGCCAGCCAGTAGCACTCCAGAAGGAGCGCTCAGCCCCAGGGCTTTGAACTGCTCTGGGGATCGTATTGGAGCCTATGAGACAGACACACGGACACAAAAGACAATCGTTTTTTACACAACAACAATTAACCAGCTAATTAGACGGCAGACCACAGCCGTGTTGCTTCATAAACAAGTCTGTTGTTGTGCTGTAGCGTCATTATTTTGTCAGTTCAAGGATAATTCTACATTAGTATTGGCACAATGTGTCTGAAACAATTGAAATGCCTACATGACAGATTCGATTTTGATATGTACTGATAAACTGCAACGTTCAAGTTGCTCACCAATAAGCCACAGTGCATATGGTTATAGAGAATAAGCAGCATCTTCCTGGAATAACATAGCTTTAGTGCTGGGGTGTTAAACATACGGCCCGTGGGCCAAAACCGGCCCGCTTGGGGTTTCAAGCTAACCTGCATGATTCATTTGAAAATAGAAAAAAAAATACACAAACATTTTATGTTCAGGAAATGTTTTGTATAATTATATTTTTGTCCATATGAAGATTTATCTCGTGTACTTTTTTTCCCATGAAAGGCATGGAAGGGCAGTAAGGCTAGACACTAACACACTAACATTGGAGGAGACTAGAAACTGTTTTATCATGGTTCAGATGGGAAGAGAAATGGAGAAGGGGTGATCCTAAAGGAAGAATATGCAAGAAATGTGGTAGAGGTGAAAAGGGAGTCAGACAGGTTGATGTGTTTGAAGGTAGAAATAGAAGGAGTGATGATGAATGTCGGTGGGCTGTGAGGTAGAAGAAAAGGAGAAGTTCTGGAAGGAGCTGGATTGGGTGATAGAGAGTGGTGATTGGAGCAGACCCTTAATGGTCATGTAGGGGAAAGGAACAGAGGTGATGAGGAAGTGATGGGCAGGTTTGGTGTTAGGGAGAGAAACTTAGAAGGACAGGCAGCGGTAGATTTTGCAAAAAGAATGGAAATGGCTGTGGTAAACACCTATTTCCAAAAGAAAGAGGAACACATGGTGACGTACAAGAGTGGAGGCAGATGACGATGGAGGTGACAAAAAGGAAGAGAGTAAAGACAGAGCAGAAGATCGAGTGGTGGAAATTAAGGAAAGAGGAATGTTGTGAAGACTTCAGGAAGAAAGTAAGAGCAGTTCTGGGCCGTGTTGAGGAATTCCCAGATGATTGGGAGACTACACCTACAGTGATTAGGGAGACAGGTAGGAAGGTGCTAAGTATGTCCTCTGGGCAGAGAAAGGAAGAAAAAGAGACCTGGTGGTGGAATGATGAGATCCAGGAGAGTGTGCAGAGAAAAAGATTAGCGAAGAAGAGATGGGACAGTGAGAGAACAGAAGAGAACAGACTGGAGTACAAAGAGAGGACAAGGGAGGTGAAGAGGGAAGTGGCCAAGGCCAAACAAAAGGCACATGAGGAGTTGTATGAGAGTTTGGAAACAAAGGAAGGAGAAAAGGAGTTGTATAGATTGGCGAGACAGAGAAATCGAGCTGGGAGGGAGCTGCAGCAGGTGAGGTTGATTAAGGACAGAGAGGGGAACGTAATCACAAGTGAGGAAAGTGTGCTGAGAAGAAGTGACAGTAGACTTCCTGATTGGGTTGTTCAATAGAATTTTAGAGACTGACAAGATGCCTGGTGAGTGGAGGAAAAGTGGAAGGACAGAAGACTTTAAGGAGGAGGTGGAGGTGGGACTACATCAGGGATTGGCCCTGAGCCCTTTCTTTTTTTGCTGTGGTGATGGATAGATTTACAGATGAGGTCAGACAGGAGTCCCCATGGACTATGTTGTTTGCAGATGACATTGTGATCTGTAGTGAGAGTAGGCAGCAGCTAGAAGAGAAACTAGAGAGGTGGAGGTTTGCACTAGAGTAGTACTGAATTAGATTGTATGTGGCCCCTGAATCAAAACGAGTTTAACACGTAAACGAAGGGGAGAACAGTGAAATAGTGAGGCTACAAGGAGCAGAGGTGGTGAAGGTGCAGGAGTTTAGGTACTTAGGATCAACTGTTCAGAGCAGAGCAGACTGTGGAAGAGCAGTGGTACACTTATGTCCTCACCAAATAGTGCCAGGAGGGACACCTCACCAAATAGTGAGGTATTTGAGAAGTACTGAATTAGATTGTATGCGGCCCCTGAATCAAAACGAGTTTAACACCCCTGCTTCAGTGACTTTTGTACTCACTTTGTAAATGTCGCACTGCAGACATTATGACATTGCAGTACATTGTTAGCAAAACTTGATTTAACCAAATGCAACAACAAATATTATGAGACTTACATATGGCCTCAATCTGCCCATGGATAAGAATTGAATTGCAGGAAAGGTTCCAGACAAGAGTTGATTCCTCACTCAATTAAAGTGAGACTAAGGTTTTGGTGTTAATAATAATGGTTAATGTTGACCTAAACAGATGTATCTTAAAGTATTTCACATTTTGTAAAATATATCTGATAATGTGCCACTGTAGATTTAAGGAGATGATATCACAGAAGTGTGTTTTTTTGTTTTTGTTTTTTTTTTACCATTATAGCCAAAGTCAGCTCCTCTCTGATGTCCTGCAATGCTCCTACATTCTCCCATGTGACATCTGGCACAGTAGCAAAGCCTTCTCTTTTGGCTGAAGGCTGTATACTAGCCAAAGAGGTCTGGAAGTCGGACATGAGAATGGACAGACTGGCCAGTTCTGTCTCCGACAGCGTCTCCGTGGTCTTTAAAAGGCGCATTAGATGAAACAGCTCCCCCTGGTGGACACAAAACGTTTTCGCTAATTAACGGTAATAGAGCAAGGCGATAAACATTATTAGACTCAGTTGTGTAAAAAAAAAAAAATCACAATTTCTTGAAACTTTAAAAGTTTCAATTGTAAATTCTGAACATTCAAAACAGGACAGAAAGCTTAACCTTTGAAGATAGTAGTAATTTTGGGTGTACGACAGCACTTAGAGATAATGAATATTAAACGAAGACAATGAGAAGATTGTTGCACAATTCCTGATAACGCTGTGTAAAAGATGCTTTTACAGTTCTTATAGTGTTTAAAATACAAAAAAAAAATACAATTACAATATTTTTAAAAAGATAATGCATTTTACTCACCAAAACCTCTGATTGTTTTTACACAAAATCCATCTATCCATCTATCTATCTATTTATGTAGTGAAGGATTTTAAATCATGTTATATGTTTATTGCAACAGCCTTATTTTCTACATCATATAGCAACACTTATAAGGATAGTGTGAAAGCTTAATCAGTAGGTCCCTAAAGGACAAAGAGATTAGAGAGCGGAGGAAATGTACATGTATGTCTCAGAGTTTACTACAGTGTTTATTCTATAACCTAGGGGGCGCACTTGAGTCGCTCGAAAGAGGGAGCATCTTGCTTAGTAATCAGCAGCAACATCCTGCAAACTGCTGCAATGGCAAATAACTGTGAAGGCCCCCAAAAAACAAGTCCTTAAAAGGACAACACTTGAACCAACAGATTTGCCCTCATGTGACTCAGGAGCTTCTTTTCGTTTTCTAGGGAAGTTCTATGAGCGTGCATGTGCTGCCGGAACTGTCCCGTCAGCATATAAGCAAGCAAAGCGAGAACGGGGGTCGTTCTTCCTCTCCGGCATCGTCTCTGAAGGTGGTAACCTAACCTAAAAGCTTTGTTTGCCTTATTTTACTTCAATAAAGCTTTCATTTTTGAGCTACCGTCTCATCGTTCCTCATCAACAAATTCGGGGGAAACGCACAGGGGAACGCAGTGTGCAATAATATATTACAGGCCTATACTGTAGTACAGTACAGTACATACAGTTACATATTTTCAGTTGTCATTTTCCTCAATTTGTTATTTTCAGTTGGTAAAAGGACAAGACCACATACGCAAATAAGCTTGTATGTATCCTGTGGTATTCACAAAATACATTGTTCAAGCTTAAAGCTTTTGTGATGTTTCTTCACATTGCACATGCACAGTACATTGCTTTGATCAACTTTGATGGTGTAGTGTGCAATAACATATTATAGGCCTATAGTACAGTACAGTACATACTTTTAATCCAAAACAACACAGCAATGCAGTATTATCTCGGATAGCGTCTAATATGAAAACTTTCATTTCAGCTATGTGAGACTTGAGACTTGACTTGGACTTGGGACGAAAGACTTGGGACTTGACTTGGCATTGCCCCTCAAAGACTCGAGACTTGACTTGGACTCGCGCATAAAGACTTGAGACTTGACTTGGACTTGGAAAAAAGTGACTTGTCACATCTCTGCTGTCGTCCCGACAGTACATACCCCTAATAGGATCTCCTGTGTCTGTGTTGATTGCAAAAACTTGCACTGTAAATGTCCCCATTGTGGGATGAATAAGCGACTCAGTTACAGTATATTATAATTATCACAAAAAGTAACTCACCATTCGACCTTTTACCGACACTGTACAATGTAATCTATCTATCTCCATGCTAATGCTGAAAGTCCAGTCTGTCGAGTCGTATTTATGGCATAAGACGTAGTGAAATGCTAATGCTGAAAGTCCAGTCTGTCCAGTCGTATTTATGGCATAAGACGTGTGCGTTCTTTCACCATCAAATCAAATCACCAAAGTAACTGTAGGTACACTCGAAGGCCTTGCTATGGCCAACCCAAATCTAATCTTACTGGTTAAAGAAACAATCTCACCACCATCAAAAACATCTGAACAACTCATGGATGGTAAAGGCTGACATTTAAAGGGTTCTTTCTCTCTGGCGCAGAAGGAAAATTTGGCATAATGTTGAAGCACTTCATACCTGTGGGGGACTCTGTTCTAGCTCTCCGTGAAACTCTGGTGCGGGGTCAACTATCAGTTTCTTTTGGACCTCTCCGTCTGTCCCATCAGACGCAGCCTGGTCTGTGGCAGAGCTCTGGTTGTGTGGCTCTCCAGTCACCTGCAGCAAAGCCCTGTTCACGGCAGTCATGGCAGCTTCTCTGCACAGAGCCATGAGGTCAGCGCCCACGTAACCTGGGGTGAGTCGAGCCAGCTGCTGGTAGTCAAAGTCCTCCGGCAGCTTCAGCTTTCGACACAGCGTCTTGATGATCCTGATGGTGTCATGCACAACAACGTTTTGTTGAACAACATTAAGGTGAACTGAGTGCAGTTGTCTCTTTGTGGCGTTGCGGCACTGACCTGAGACGAGCTGCTTCATCTGGGATTCCCAGGCAGATCTCTCTGTCAAAGCGTCCAGCTCTGCGAAGCGCTGGATCCAAGGAGTCCGGTCTGTTAGTGGCACCGATGACTAGGACCTGAGCTGTTACTGTCAGACTGTTCAAGTCTATCAGGAGGCACATGGGAAAACAGTGGTTGAATTTTGCAAAAGTGCAGAATTTTGCAAAAGTGATTCATATATTTCAGGTTTGCATTAGTGCAGTGAAAGACATAGACATTCATTGAATTAAATACAATTAAATACTTTTCTAGCTGTCTTTCTTTCATTCCTGCCTGTATATCCACATTGTGTTCAACTTAACAGTCTCAGTGATTAGGAATTTTCAGTTAATTGAAACTAGAGGATCACTGTATTTCATACATATATTTTGTGACATTTTTGTTTGATGATGGATTCTGGGATTACTGTAGTATAAAATTTGAGCTGTGGTTCAAAAACAATCACAGAGCGGAATTATCCATGAATTACACACCATCCATGCAGGTCAGCAGCTGAGCTACCATCCTCCTCTCCATATCTTTTGAGGCCACCTCTCTCTTCGGAGTGATAGCGTCTATTTCATCAATGAACAGGATACATGGAGCTGAAGTCTGAAAGAACACAAAAAAAAACCCAAACGTGATCAGCGACAGGGAAATACTCAAGTTCCTAAACAGCACTAACATCGGATTGACTGTGGTGGACACTGGGTAATAGTATGAACCAGAGGTGGGACCAAGTCATTGCTTTGCAAATCTCAAGTCTTTGCACTCAAGTCCGAGTCAAGTCTCAAGTCAAGACAGGCAAAGTCCGAGTCGAGTCCAAGTCAAGACTGAAAAGTGTCAAGTCAAGTCCCAAGTCCTGCCGTTTCTGTTTCGAG